TTAAGGTTCCCCTAACCTATTCTTGAGTCATTGAAATGTAACAATACAGAGTCATTTAAATGCTAATAAGATGAAATTGAAATGCATAAATCCAATATTGTTAGAATGTTCTCCTGGATTCTGCAGGTCCTGGCACTTTCAGAGTCTGAAGGGACCTCGGAGATCACTAGTCCAATCCCTTGACTTTCTACGTGAGGCCCAGGGAGGAAAGGGGCTTGGTCAAGGTCACTCTGCAGGATCTTGGAAAACAGGGAGTGGCTTTTTTCAATGGACTCTGGCCTACAGTTGGCTGTGTAACTCGTTGTATGTTGCTCACCCTCTCTGGGCCCAGAACTAGTTATGTGCCCCTCCCAGGCCTCTGTCTCATTCTACTCAGCTGCTATAACAGAAAACCATAGACTGGATTAAACAACAGAAATTTATTTCTTACAGTTCTGGGGGCTGGGAAGTTCAGATCACAGTTCCAGCAGATTTTCCCATAAGGGCCCTTTTCCTGGCTTGCAGATGGCTGTTTTCTTGCTGTGTCCTCACATGGCCAAGAAGGATTATCTCTCATATCACTTTTTATAAAAACACCAATCCCCTTCACGAGGGCTCCACCTTCATGACCTAATTACTTCCCAAAGGCCCCCACCTCCTAATACCATCACATTGGAGATTAGGGCTCCAACATATTAATTTGAGTGTAAACACATCTAGTCCATAGCAGCCTGTGCGCCCATTTTTTAGGAGGGGAGTGATTCCATTGTTGAGAACTAGCTGCAAATATACTTTATCGCAACCGTGAGGTATACACACTTGTTAATAACAGGGGGAGAGGGGGAGATACAGAAGCCAGAGTTGTAGAATATCTGCTTCTGGCCAGGAGCTACACCAAGACACACACACAGGGTCCCCATGGGTCCTCACAGCAGCCTGTTAGATGGGTCAACTCCAGTTTGCAGATGAGGCCCACCCGATGAGGTGAGATGACTTCTGTAAGGTCACATTACTCATTAAGTTTCTCAGCCATAAAGTGGTAGCTCAGGTATTTAAGTAAGGCCACAAGAACGTCAGAGTCTGGGGACCTTTGGCTGAGGGGACATCTGCCTGCTCCAACCTCACGCCCACACCTCATTGTGATGAAGGGAAACTGAGAAGTGGAGGGCAGGGTATGCATCTCAGAGAAAAAGGTGTGACTACTGGTTGTGATATCTTTCCTTACCCCCAGCAAACCTGTAAGACAGGCAGGGTCGGAATCACCAGCCCATTTTACGGATGAGGAAACTGAGATCCAAGGACTTCCCATGGATGGATGACCCAGGGCCTAATCCAGATAGTCATTCATTCATCAAGTATTTATTAAGTGCCTCTGGATGCCAGGGACCATAGTAGGTACAAAAATGACATAGCTACTGCCCACTCAGAGCTCTCAAGCTCCTGGGGAAGGGAAACAGCTAAGCAGGCCCAAGCAATAGAGTGTGAAGTGTGGCATGGTACAGGAAGCATCCAGGAGTCAGGAGAATTTACATAGCCCTGTGTGGTCGAGGAAGGCTTCCAAGTAAAGGACACTGTGCTGAGCAGAACATTGTCAAGGCAGCAAAGGCTGGGGGAGTGAAGAGTGTTCAATTCTGGAGAATTCAGGCAGCTGATAGATTCTACACTAACTAGCAGTTCTTCAGCTCTGTCCATATGCCAGAATATCATTTGAGTGGGGTCATACAGGTACTTCTGTGCCAGTAGACTTCAAGCTCTCTAATCGAGGAACAGTTAGATCAAATACCAAAGTGAGCTCTGCAACTTAGAAGGAAAAAACAAGATGCCTAGCACAGCACTAGTCTCATGCATGCACTGGTGAGATGCAGGAGAAATTGGTAACAGGGGCCGGGGACAAGCCACCTCAGAAGAGGTAACTACAGTGGGAAATCTCAAAGAAGAAAGTTTAAGATCAAACATCTACAGGGGCAAAGTTCTGGTTTTTAACTGATTTTGCTATCCCAGCATTTCATCCCTCCAGATGTGCTCACAGGTCCCTTTCTGCACCTTTTACTATGTCCCTCCTGACTTTTTACTAATACATAGTTGTATATTTCAGATTCTTCCACATCTGTCTTTTGGCTTAAAGCCTACTTAACCCACAGGAAGTTAAATTTCCCCACTCATCTTCCCTGGTAACCTGAGCAGATCAGATCTTCCTGCTCTGAGTGTCCACAGCACCTGGGACTCCCTGTCATGACAAACCCATCGTGTTATATATAAATCACTCATTTAATTGTGTCTCCTCTCCACTCTCAGCTCCTGGAAGGCAAGGACTATGTCTGGATAGTTTAGTGCATGGAACAGAGTAAATGTCCAAAATAGTTACTAGATGGGTGAATGGATGGATGGGTGAATGGATGGATGGGTGGGTGGGTGGATGGAAGGATGGATGGATGGATAGGTAGATGGGTGGATAGATGGTTGAAGATCATTGTTCATCTTAACACAGTAGTCATTAAAATTACCAGTAGGCCATTAGCATATGCCTACCATTGTCATCACAAATATAATTACTGCTAACGATTCTCATAGCTCGTGCTGTCGGATGTAATTGTCAGTGCCTGCACTCCACACCACAGGTAGTAGGGGGACAGATAGAAAAAGCAGTGCCTTCAGTTTAGAAAGTCCCTTGTGGTTTGCAAAGCACTTTTGTTCACATATGGCACATATGGCAGCATCCTAAGAACCCCATGAGGGAGATTAACCAGGGGAGGCAGCAAACAGCCCTGATTAAGAAAATGTCTCTGGATCCAGAGTGCCCAAGTTTATATCCCAACTCCACCACTCTCTAGCTGTGTGACCTTGGGCAGTTTATATCACCTCTCTTGGCCTCAGCATCTTCATATGTTCTATGAGGATAATAAGACTTTCTGTCTCATGAAGTGGTTGTGTGGATTGGTAATAATAACAATAAATACTGAATCCTTAGTAATTACTGAGCTCAGTGCTAAGTGTTTTATGTGAAATAACTAATTTAAGCCTCATAACTCCTATGAGGTAGATGCTATTATTCCCCCTTCCTTTTTTAAGATAATAAAACTCAAGTTGATTTACCTTCCATCCTGCTGGGAGGAGGAGGAGCCAGAATTTGACCAGAAACTGTGGCTTCTAGAGCCCCTACTGTTAACCTCTACAGCATCTGTACATCCAAGCATCCTTGGTCCCTGCCCCAGCTGTTGGTCCCAGTGTAAAGATAAGGCTTCCTACTGCACCCCTAGGTAAAAAGGCCCCCTGGAAGGCATGACAAGTTTCACTTGCAGCTCCAGCACCCCCAAGCCTTGTACAACCCCACACCCCAATGGAAACACCAGATTTGAACATGGTTTATAATTAGCTCCCAGTAAATTAGGAGTTAGCAAGAGGAGAATGACTGTTGTCTTACATATGAGGAAACTGAGCCTTGGCAAAGTGAAAAGGCTTGCCCAGAGTTCCACAGGATTTGAGAGAACTCAGATTTAAATCCAGATTGCTCTGGTTCCATCCTGTGTTCTTCACTTAACTCAGGCCACAGTCCACTGACCAAGCCTCAGCTTTCAGAGAGAAAAGAGAGAGTGCCCCCTAGGGAAAGGGGAAAGAGCACTGTGCTGGCAGTCAGAAAACTGGACACCTCTGGGCCCCTCTGCTTTTGATCTTTGGCTCTGGACAAGTCCCTTTCCCTCATTGAGCCTCAGGCTTCTCACAGAATGAAATGAAATTAACTCCAAAATGCCGCCAGCTCTAAAATTCTGTGCAAGAGGAAAGGATTGTAGAAGGAGAGAGAAGGGCCAGGGCACAAGGGACAAGAGGGAGAAGCTGGGGCTGGGGTAGGGGCTCAGTCCTGTCTTCCCCCTCCACCCCTCACTGTCCTAGGCCTATGATGGCCAGCTGTCTGAGGCTGCTGGGCGGAGCCGGTCTCTGTGCCAGGCCCAGCCGAGCTCAGCAGGGGCCCTTTGTCACCCAACGCTTGCCGGGGCCTTGGCCACTGGTGTTGGGTGTCCAGGCAGATTGGATTCTCTCCTGGCAGCCCTGCAGATGCCGCACTCTTGCAAGGGTGGCCGGGCAGGCAGAAAGAAGCCAGCATTCCCTCCTCCTCCTGGCCTCCCAGAGGAACGTGGAGGCCGCTGTCTATGGTGCTGGACTGTGGGGGCCCCCAGGTGAGGGCTGTCTGGACCCCAGCTCATGCTGGGAGCCAAGCTGTAGGCTCACGATGTGCTGGTGAATATGCATGAGCTGGCTCCTCTGGCCCCACAGAGGGCCTTAATTAATGTGGTTGGGGGCTGAGGGTGGAGGTGGGTGTCTTTCTCCCATCCCTGTGCCTGTAAGTCCCAAGTGGCAAGAATAGTGTATATCAGTGGCATGGACAGGTGTAGTATCTGTACTTGGGGGTTATACCCCAAATTGTGTGGGCATAGAATGTGTGTGGGGAAGTGAGAGAAACCAGGGTCTATGTGTGCACAGAGGGGCCATGAGTACAGATATTTTTGAGGGAGGAGGTGGGGATGTTAGATGTATGCCTAGAAGTGTGACTGCATGTGATGCTGTACATGGCAGGGAGTGGGTTGTTCCCAGTGTGTGGGGGAAGTGGGGCTTGTGCATTGCTCTGTGTGTAAGGCAGTGAAGTGGGCCCTAAAAGTAGGGGAGTTGGGTGTTGCAGGGCACCCTGACCTCTGTGTGTCCGAGGGTGTGAGTGCATCAGGATGTATGTTCTGAAGTCAGTGTATTACACAGCACAGTGGGCAATTAGGAGATCTGGATGTAATATGAAGGCCCGTCAGTCTGTGCTGTGGGGGTGATATATCATGGGGCATCCAGGCGAGTGCTGGTATGTTTGGATTTATAATGTGTGCTGGTGTGCTATGGGTGTACAAAACACCCATATTAGGGTATGTGGGTATTATTTTGAGTGGGCATGCATGCACGTGTACACGGGACCTTCATGAATACCCATCCCATGAGGTCTACAGTTCCTGACCTTTATCACGACTCTATGCTTGCCCCCACAGGAGCCACCACCCCTGACCATGTAGATGCCAGCTCCAGGGAGCAGCATGGGCCCTGCTGAATGGAGACTACTGGGTCTACAACCCTGAGCCCCTCTGGCCCCTGGACTTCACCCTGCACCCAGGGACACCCCTTGGAGTTCACCACTGCTGTTGTCAGCCCACCTCAGCCTCCTCCTCCCCCTGGGACCCGGAGTCGGCCACCAGGAGCCACAGACATCCAGTGAGGTTGTGCTGAGGACAGCCACACAGAGCCATCATTCAGAAGCCTCTTGTCCACCTCTGACCCTCGGGCCCACCCCGAGCAGGAACTGTGGCAAACATGGGTGACATGACCAACAGCGACTTTTACTCCAAAAACCAAAGAAACGAGTCGGGCCATGGGGGCGAGTTTGGGTGCACGATGGAGGAGCTCCGCTCCCTCATGGAGCTGCGGGGCACTGAGGCTGTGGTCAAGATCAAGGAGACTTATGGGGACACTGAAGCCATCTGCCGGCGCCTCAAAACCTCACCTGTCGAAGGTAGGTGTGGGAGACTCAACCCCAGGGCTGCAGCCCTGGCAACTGCTATCTGTGTTGGCTCCATGATATTTAACCACAGGGATGTCTTGGAGCTGGACTGAAATGCCAGTATGGCCATTCTGGTGTATTCTAGCTGAGGGTCAGCCCCTTTGGATAGGCCAGGGAATGAGGCTTCCATTTTCTCCCCATTTTGGATTGGAGTATGACCCAAGTCACCTGCAGAGAGAACCATAGGAACAGGTTCACATTCACCTCAGGGGTGGGCTCATCAGCCTGGAAATGTGGGAGGCACCCAGTCTCCAAGGTGGGGCCAGAGGGAGACCAGTGGGGCGGAAGAGGAACCATGCCTTGCTTGCCTTTATAAAAGCTCAGGTGGGGCTCCCGCTTTCCCCACCCCATCTACAGAGGTTGAATTCTAGGATCCAGCCACCTAGCCCCTGCCCTCCCTTCCCCAGGCCCCAGAAATCCCTTTGTCTGGCTCCAGCATAGAACCACAGCATTTGATACCATGCAGCCAGTTCCAGCTCCACAGCCCCTGTCACTGGGCTAGGTCATGTCTGACTGTCCCAAATCCAGGCTCTAACTTGGGAACTCCTAGGTCTCTGGGGCAGCCATCAGCCTTGGAACTGCTAGACAGATATGGCAGGCAGGAAGATGGGCCATCACAGAAAGGGTGACAGATGCCCATGTGTGTCTTGCCCTGGATATGGATGTGGAACTTTCTCACAACTGCCAAAATAGTAGGCCTTGGATCTCCAGAAAGAGAGAGGATTTCAACCTCCTGGGGCTTCTCTGGAGGGGACCAAAGCCCAGTCATCTGCCATGAGGCACAGAGGAGAGAAACCAGCCCAGCTTAGGCACAGAGCTCAGTTTGAGTCTCCATCTCCACAGTTACCTTCCCTCACCATGAGGGAAAGAGTTCCCTGCATGAACCCCAAAACAATATAGGTGTGAGGCTCTGCCCGGGCACTCCCCAATCCTGTAATTTTATGCAAAAGCCCTCAGTTTCTTCCTCTGGAAAATGGGGCCAGTGCCTACCTCACAGTGCCTAGTGAAGGCCTAAGCATGCAATAGGCACTCAATAATTAGTAGCCATATTATTCTAAAGAGATTGGATGACAATTCCTCCCCCAGATGTAGACCACAATCTGGGAGGTAAGCAGCATCTGAATCTTTATCCCCATATGACAGAGGACAAATCTGAGGTCCAAGGTCCCTCTCACTCCATCTCCTAACTCCAGTCCTCATGCCCTGGGCATGGCTGGGTGCTAACCCTGAATGCATTTCCTGTAGAGGCAGCTTATGGGTCTAGCTGCTCACGGAGGCCTGCCAGTCTGTCTAGTGGTTGCCTGTGCCTGAACCCCACTGCACTGAGTGGGTCGAGGTGTCTGTCCTTTTTCATCTGGGGCCCTCTTGAGCCAGGAAGAAGAACTAAGCCTGGTTCTTCTTTCCAGATTGGCTGCCATCTCTGATGTTGTGCCTATATGCTGAAATTTAGAAATCATTTCTTTCTTAGTGTTTCATTGTTTTGGCAGGAGAGTGGGAATACAGGAAACATTCTCTCTTCACTTTGTGATTCTGACTCAGGTCTTGTGAATGACCTCAAGTGGCCCCGCGATGGGAGTGGTGTCTGCCTTGGGGCTTCTGAGCCTCAGCCTCGTGGGAACACCCATCTGTGGCAAAATGACCCTTGTGCACCTCTGCCATCAGGGTGGCATACCCAGCGTACTAGGAGGCAGGGTTTCCCAGTAGTCTTTGCCTTGTGAATAGAACCAGGAGATTCTCTTGAGTCAGGAATTCTTAACTGTCTCTGGGCCCCAGGCCTGGATGGAAGCTATGGCCTTTCTCCCCAGGAAAACAGCCAACCCCATGCAACAGATATGGCTCCCACTACCAGTGCCTTCACAGTGCCCCTTGAAGCCAGTGTATGGACCCTGAGTTAAGAAAACTGCCCCCCCTCCCACTTGACAGGCTCTCTGACCCTGGGAAATTGAGTGGCCCATTGCCAAGCTCCAGCACTGTGCAGGGTCATTACCAGCTGGCTCATTGTGTCCTGCACCTGAGGGCAGGAATCCTATCCTGCTCTTCTCTGTACATCCAGCACCCAGTCTGCTATATGGCACAGAGGAGGGTATATAACTTAATGGTGATGGAAAAAGACTTGGCTTGGGGTAGTGAACACAATATAAGGTACAGATGATGTGTTATAAAATTATACCTCTGAAACCTATATAATTTTATTAACTAATATCACCTCAATAAACTCAATAAAAATTAAATTAAATTAAAAAAAAAAAACCCTGAGACATGGCTATTGAGTCTTGAGACCACAGAGAGCAGCTCAGATGTCTGAGTAGCCAGAACAGCAAATAATCCATGCCAAGTGCAGCAGGGGCCCCAGAGCTCATAGGGTAGGTAGATGGGTGGGCAGTGAAGGTCAGAGAAGGCTTCCTGGGGGAGGAGGTGTTTGGCTGTGGAGGAAAGAAAAGAGAAGCATGTAGATGGAATAAAGCAGCATTTCTTGGACAGAATTCCATAGAATAACAATGCCTTACAAAAGTTAGGCATTACGTGAAAAATAAAGGGGACTCAGTTTTCTCATCTGTAAAGTGGCAATAATGGCAACAGCTCTGCCCCCTGCCAGCTGTGTGTGTGTGCCTTCGGGCCTTTTGTCTGATCTCTCTGAGCTTTGGTTACCTGATGTTTCATGATGACCAAATGAGATCTCTGATGGGAAAAATCTCTTGGGAGGAGGAAACACTGGTAGGATTAACCAGAGCCCATGCTGCATTGGCCCCTAGAAGGATCTCCCAGGGTGCAGGTGGAGCTGAAAGAGGCTTGGGGAGGAGCAGAAGAGCATAAGGCCACAGACCCCAGACTTGGGTGATCTGGGTTCAAATCTCAGCCCTGCCATTTATCAGCTGTGGGACTGTGGACAAGCTACTCAACCTCTCTATGCCTCAGTTTCCTCATTATCCCCTGTAAAATGGGGGTAATGATAGTGGTTACCTCATTGGGTTGTGGTGAGGATGCAGTGAAGTAGCTTAGAATAGCACCTGGCATGTGGGCAGTGCTATGTTAGGATTCAGCCCCAGAGACCAAACACCTCCTTTCCCCATCAGTAAAATGGGTTGTGAACATTGTTATTCATTGAGATCAGGCCAAGTGCCCGGTATCTAAGTGCTTAATAAATGTCAGCTCTTGTTTTTATTCTGTGTATCACTGCTCTGGAAGCAGCAACCACATTCTCCAGAAAGGGTAGAATCTGTCTGTTCTGGAACACTGGTCAGTGTCCGCACATGGTGCCACACTTTGCAGTCAGCTATTCTGCATCCTTATTACACATGAGCCTGGAAGCAGGAGGTATTATCCCATTTTACAGAAGAGCATGAGGTCTCAAGGTCATCACCACAGTTCATGTCAAAACAGACTTTGAACACGGCTCTGACAGACGCCACACCCAGGTATGCCATCAGCCCCAAGCCAGGCATGTGAACCTGGACACAGTCTTCTAAAGGTGCTCTCGGTCTAAGGAGGGCCCAAGTAGGGTGGGGCCACCAGAGAACTTTTCTTTATTATTTCTCATGCTCAGCATTTGTCTTGCCCTGTTTGCCGCCTTCTGGTTTACAGGAATGTTTGACCTCCAGCCCCAGCCCCCAACTTAGAGCCATGTGGCCTGGTGCTATGCCAGCTTCAGACAGGGACTCAGGCTGGTCATTCTGGACATCCCCTGCCCCCAATCTGCTGAGGTGAGCAAGGAGCCGGCTCTGAGTCACATTAGAGGAAACTGCTTCAGGCCACGCATAAATTAGCCTTCCCATTTACATCCAGCTAATTTTAGACAAAAAGATCTCTGTAGGTGATAGAGGAGGCTTAAAGTCATAGAAATCTAGTCCCACCCACCCAGGGCACCACCTGCTGCTAGGCCAAAGGCTCAGTCCCCACAGCCTGGTAATTGGGATTTTCTACCTAACTCTGGGGGTAACTGCTGTATAAGCCTGGCCTCTGCCCCAATCTTCATTTCTTTCCTTTTCCACTATTGGTTCTGTTCCCTTCTGGTAATGTCTTTTCCCTCTGCTCTCCACTGCCCCCGTTTCTTCCGCAACCTTCCAGCCTAGAACAGTGGGGCCCCAGAGACCCAGGTTCAAATCCTGACTGGCTTACTCTTTCTTAAGGGACATTGGGAGAATTCAGTGTAACCTCTCTAAGCTTTAGTTGCCTTATCTGTGAAGTGGGAATAATAACACTACCTACCTCACCAATATTGTCCACTGAAGGACTTGTGCAGTGTATGGCAGACCCTGGACACTTACAAAATGATATTATCGTTGTTATTAGCATACCTAATATTTCTTTTCAAAAACATGCATGGGCCCCATCATTGTGAAAAAAACAGGCAATTAATAAAACAGTACCCAATGAAGAGTGAGGCTTCCCAGAGTAGGTGGATTCCTGATGAGTCTGGAAAGCTGGGGACTGGTTCTTGGGGTAGCCAGTGAGGTCCTGGAGGCAGGAGCTGTTTGTCATTCTCCACCAGGTCCCCAGCACCTGGTACAGTGCCTGGGGGCTCAAAATTTTTCACAGAAGGAAGGAAGAGAGGGAGAGAAAAGAGATGGGGGTGGCCCTGGTGCCCCCGCCCTCTGTTGGACGGAAGGCTACAACCCGGGGACAGGACACAGGACACCCTGTGTCACCCATGGAACAATTGGCTTCGGTTCCCCAAGCCTAGAGTGGCACCTTCCTACGCCGCTCCACACACACAGCCCTCGTCCTTCACTCCTGTCACCCACACCTTGGGCTGTCAGAGGGGCAGCTCAGGCATATCCCATTAGGCGCTCCCTGCATGTGTGTTTCTCAGTGGGGGAGAAAGAGGGACAAAGAAGATGGGGCGGCAGCAGGTGGGGTGGGAACTGGATACTTCAGAGTGTTGTGAAACGGAACCTCCGGTTAATTTTGTATGAATCCTACAGCCTGCCCAAGTGGAGGAGAGAGAGGGGCTG